GAGGAGGGTTCCACATTGGCCGATGCCTTGACGAAGGTGTGCAAAGACACGGAGCTGAAGGAGGTCTACTTCACTACGCCCTTGGCCCTTGCCAGTGCCGAAGGCGGGATCCGAAAATACTTCAAAGGGAACGGCAAGGACCCCAGGAAAGGCTTGAAGGGTCTCACACCTGGCAAGGGCGATGGCAAGGGTGATGGGAAGGATCGCAAGGGTCGTGACACAGGTGGCAACCAAGGATTTGGGGGTAAGACTCCGGGCATGTTTGCGGGATTCACGCTGCTTACCCACACCCCAGACGGCCGTCAGATCTGTTATGCATTCAACAGTGCCAGGGGATGCAAGGGAAATTGTGGGCGTGTGCATGTTTGTCGTGTCAAGGGCTGTGGCAAACAGCACGGTGTGCATCAGCATCCTGGGGCGTCTGCTGCTCCAAAGGATTCCACAGGAGGCGCCGATCAGACCGAGTGACTATGCGGCGTTGTGCACGTGTACGCGACCCCGGAGGATCGCGTTGGCCTGCTTGAGGCCCTGTCATCATACAGCTCTGGATTGCGGCTTCTTGAGTTTGATTTAAGCTGTGATCGGGATCATGATTCTTTGCATGCTGGGCCCTGGGCCCGAATACAGGAACTTTTGCGTGAAGGCCGGTGGCTGCTCTATTGCACCTTGCCGGCGAGTACTTTCAGTCGCTCTCGGCATCATCGGCCGGGGCCTCCGCCGCTGCGCAGCCATGAACATCCTTATGGTTTTCCGTGGTTGCGACAATCTTTTGCACAGCAAGTCCAACTTGATAACGATTTCATTTTTCAAGCCGTTGCATCAGCGCATGTTTGCTTTGATTTTGGGAGTTACTTTGTCTTTGACCATCCAGAGCGCCTCGGTGTGGCAAATGATCAGGTGTTGCCTGCTTCCCCATGGGAGTGGGCAGAGGTACTTGATTTGATTCCTCGCGGAGCTGTCACGTTTGCATTGTATCAGTGCCACTATGGTGCCCTCACATCGAAGCCTACGCGTTTCTTGAGCAATTTGCCCAGCTGGCGCGCTGCCGTGCCACATTTCCCAGGACTTCCGTCGTTGGATGACGATGGGCGCTATCGCGGCCCTTTGCCGCCCCGTTGCGGCCATAAGCATGCTGACCTTTTGCGTTCGCAGCCCAACGGCTGGCAGTCTGGCAACATTGCTCGTTTTACGCCTGAACTTTGTTCTTTTGTGGCCAGAGCCGCCCTGGCAGTCGCTCCTCAGGAGAAGGGGGCACAGCACAGTCCTCCTGCCACGACGGATAACACCCCGGCTGCTAAGAACCTTAGCTCTCCCCCTTCCGAGTCAGCTTCCCTCCTTAGTGCGGCCGGGGCTAGTTCGGGTATGGTTACAGGTGAGGCGGCATCAACAGCTGATCCCGAAAGCTTTGCATCATCGCTCTTGAAGTCGGGCATCGAGTTGACCAGGAACCATTTGCTTGATTTGTATAAGCTCCTTCCGCGGGAGAAGCCACCGAGGTCTCAAGACAGACCTGAGCCAGGCACTTCTTTCAGCGTAGGCTGTTACTACCATGCAGGTTCGGTCGGGCTGAGACATCATACTAAATTGCTTCCGAATTGCTCTAGGTTGCTATGTGCATATTGGAAACAGGTGCTCCCGTTGCTTAACTTCACGACAATCACTTTGCTTGAGGATGTGCAAACTCCCTTGCACCGCGATGGGAGGAACGGCTCGACACACAACGCCATTTTGGCTGTGTCGGACTTCGAGCAAGGGGGGCTTTGGCTCGAAGATGAGCATGGGGACGAAACCCGTCTCCTGGATGGCCAAGAACTGCGAGGCAAGGTGCATCAGATCACGAAGGATCCTTTTGTCTTCGAGGCCAGGGATAGGTATCACTGCACCGAGCCCTGGAAGGGGCATCGACTTGTCATGGTTGCCTTCACGGTCCCAGGATACGAGAAACTTGAATCGTCTGACCTAGCGCTGGTCAGGGACTTGGGGTTTGTCTTGGACGGTAAATCGCAACTTGAGGGCAAAGCCGTGGCTTTCAGACCGGAGCTCTGCTGCAACCGTGGCAACCCCATCAACGTGATGTGGGCTGGCGATGAGTCGCCTTTCACGGATGGCTTCGGCCTTTGCTCACCAGCCAGGTGGGTCCCGAGCGCTCGGGGACAAGGGCTCCCGGAGCCAGCACGGCGGCTGGCAGCTGCTATGCACAAGCTTGTGAAATCCTTCGTCCTTAGGGTGCTGCCCAACGTGGAACGCACAGCGATGGAGCTCGTCCTGGGACGGTTCACCTCATCACCCTTCTCCGAGCGAGACATGGCTCAGTTGCGGCAACAGTGGGTTGGATTGCTTGGGGATACCGGGGGCCACGACCTGCTGGTGGTCCCGGAGAGGCAGCCCTTCTATCTACCGGCTTTGGCACGCACGGCCGAGTTGCTTGGTGATCCAGACTGGGAGGTCATCACGCAAGGCGAGGACAACTTCTGCACGGGAGTCCCATTGGGCTGCGAGGAGGTTCTGCCACAGGTGCCCCAGGTCTTTGACTTCAAACATAAGTCGAGGACCTTGGATGAGTCTGAGTTTGATTGGGATCGTACCAACTACAAAAGTGCGCATGAGTTTGAGGGACCACTTCTTGA